CCATGCCCGAGTTTTTGCCTCAGCGACCACCTGAGCCGCATGTCGCTTGGACTGCCGGTACCCATCAGCTACTTCCGGGGTCCCACAGGCCAAAAAGGCCCTGACAGCATCCCTCACCGACGGTGTCCACCACCGGGTTCGAGGGTTTTATAGATCAGTTAAAAATAAATTTACCATGCTCTGTTCAGTAAAATACGCTACATAGTATTGCTCCCTGCTTCGTCTGTGCTGAATGTGAAAGTGAAACTTAATTCGTGGATGGTCATGACTTGAAAGTATTTTTCATGCGCCCTCTGCTGGATACTTTGCACAATTACAGCTCGTTCCCAGCATTTTAGGGGTGAAAATTAGAAGCGCTTATATCAGTGCATAATGGGAGAACCTAAATGTCTTTATCGGCCTAAATTCGTACTACTGATATATTGGCCGGGCTGTAGTATGTGGTACTCCTGTTTTTGTTTTTTATTTACCTATCATACAAACACAAAGATATTCAATCTATTGTACTGTACATCATATTGATGTTAAATCCACATTTTTGTGTCCTGAGCTAACCTCCCAGTTTGCATCACAGTTTGTGTGTGTGTTTAATCTGAATTATCCATTATGTTGTGGTTCAAAAACCAAAGTAGATGTTTGGCTTTTATTTCTTGTCTTGAATGTTTTCTGTATACTGAAGGAATTTAGCAACAGAACAGAGAGCAGGGTCTTCTCCGGACCTCTCTCTTCCCTGCAGTGTGACTTCAGCCCAAATTATCGGAATGTAAACTGAGAACATGGCTCATACAGCAAGAACATTCATTATGTCTCTGTTTCCTCTGACTCAGGGAGTATCGTGAGCGTGGGGGATCCCAAAAAGAAGTATACTCGCTTCGAGAAAATAGGACAAGGGTAAGTCTGATCACCAGCAGACAGTCCAACCAGAGGAAGCGTCCATCTCTGCTGGGCAGCTGCAGTTTCACACAGAAAAGAGGCGGCGTTAAGGTCGAATACCTGAGCGCTAACTGTAGAGACAGGAAATGAGAACTGTATCCCAAAAAAAGAGCCCAGAGACAGATGAGCTCATCCACCTCCCTCCCTTGACCTCTGAATATTTCTGCTTTTTTACGACACATCTGAAGATAAACAGCCCCGAGTTTCATCTCAGGTTGTCCATATTGGAGCAGGAAGCTTCTGAAATGGAGGAGAACAGTATATTTACTCTCTGCTGGGTTATCGGTAATTTACAGCTAGCAGGAACTCTGCTTCATTATTTATAGCATGTGACAGAGGAACAAGGAAGAGGCAGCAGCTTAAATCTACAGTGGAAGCTTTTTAACATCCAGACCGGCACAAAAAGAGTTCACAGATTTGATATGGCCCAAATATCGTGCCAAATATTTATTAAAACCTTATTTTCTGTTGTAATCTGCAGTTAAATATTATCTTGATGCCATCATATTAAGAGTCCAGCTGTTTAAGTCGTTTAAACTGAACTGTCTGCTTTTATCACATTTAAAATTCATTATGATGAGTCAGGGATTTAAGAAAGATTTAGAAAAATACAATAAGTGGATCTTACTGAAGCAGTTTTTAGCCTGTTTGTACAAACTGGTCAAACGATTACCAGATATTCTGCAATATTGTAACATTTTCAGTTGATTTAATAGTCAATAGTTATAAAAATAATTCATATAACTGCAGTAGTCTGTAGCAGTTGTTTGAAAAGGCTGTTTATTTCATGTTAGAGTCAGAGATACAAAAAACCCTACTTATTTTAGGCTAAATCTGTGGTTATGGTTTTTAGTTTTCATGTGGTTTCGTTCATGTTCAGCTCTTATAAAGTGGAGTTGTGTGGTAAGGTTTTAAACTGTAATGATCGTACCTGCTGTAGATAAATAGAGTTGAATTCTGACCGAAGACAGAAGACCAAAGATTACTGTTGTCTTAAAATAACTCAAAATGTCTAAGGTGATTTATCTAAACCTGAGGTGTCCACAGTGAGGCCCGAGGGCCATTTGTGGCCAGTGGAGTGATTTTGTGTGGCCCGAGACTACTGGTAGACTCAAGAGGTTGATGCAGATTCAATTCAATTAAAAAATACTTTATTAATCCCAAAGGGAAATTATTATTTGTTGTAACTCGTTATCCTCATTTCATCCTTTATGACTCATCATCCTCAATTTGAAGATATAGACCCTCTGCAAATTTAATGGTGATGCCATTTTTCTACCAAAAAGTAGATCTTTGGATAATCTTTTTTAAAACTATCAAGTGATTTCATAGGCGTCGCAACCATTATATGTGAAGGGGACGTGTCCCCCCACATAAAAAAAATTCTCATTTGGACCCCCCCCACACACACACACACACATTTACCATGAAACATTAGTTCAGTCGGTGCTGTTTCCATTTCTTCGTGAACAAATCCATTCCACTTGATTAATAGGAGAATACTCAAACCACTAAAAGTCCACTCCAGGTTTTCCTGGTTACCTACAACGCTCCAGCAGCCTGCGGTGTTTCTCCTCTGCTTCTCCTGCCTCGTCAGAGAACGCTCACAGGAGGAGGAGTGGAAACACCTCTGTGTTGCTCGCTTGCCAGATTAGCGATCTTAGTGCAGGCAGTTCTTGACAAGGGGGGAGTTAGGATCTTAGACATATATACATGGCTAGGAGGACGCTTGAGAGAAGTGGAGCGCTGCATCTGTAGCATCGTAGCTTAGCGCTAAGCTAAGTGTAAGATGCTGTGTGTTAAGATGCAATAAAGATGAAATGTCTTTTAAACCTCACAGCTTATTGTCCTCAAGCTTAGTGAGAAACATCCTTTAGATGAGTAGTGTTGAACACAAGTAAAAGAATGTCTAGTTTTCATGTTGTTTTTTAATTTAATTTCTCTATAAATACAAATAGTGTTGACCTGATGCTGTGTGTTAAAGTGTATTACAGTTTAAATGTCTTTAAAACCCACAGCTGAATAAACTTGGTGAGAAATATGTTTTAAATGTGTGGAATTAAAGTAAGGAAATATAGGTGAAATGTTGCTTTTTTTGTACACTAGTGTACACTTTTTTGCATGCACGTGCACACACACACACAAACACACAGTGTGTCTACACACACACACACACACACACACACACACACACACATACATACATTACAGATACTTCTACTTAATCATCAACAGAGTGAAACTGGACATTTTAAAAGAAATATAAAGTGGTATCATCTGCATACAAGTTGATCAACTTTATTAGTGTCCCTTCCAACCTTCTATGAATTTGTTTTGACTACCAGTTGTACAATTTTTCAGAACTTCCATGAGTCTTTTGGGCCATCTATGGTCCAAACGGCTGATCAGCCCCCTTTAAAAAACAGTTTACACTTTTGTTTCTGGGAAAAGACCAAAATAACTTTCCAAGCACAAGAAAGCAACAACAAAAAGTTAATATTTGAGGCTTTTAATGTTTTAGATGTACAATTTAGAACTCTTATCTCCACCAAAATTGGTAAACTTTTGTCCCTTCCCCCAAAATATTGTTCACGTTGTTGAAAATTTTAAAATAAAATAAAAATTTCACATAAAATATGTAAGCTTCGTTTTGTCTTAAATTCACATTTTTGAGGCCCGTAAATCTTTTCATCTTGACAGTTTTGACCCACATATGAAAAAGTTTGCACACCCCTCATCTAAACATTTTATAAACCTCTACATTGCCATCAGTTTTGCAGTACACGGTTACTTTCATAGAATTTTGAGGTTATTTGCAGGCGCTGTAATTGACAGTAGCAGCTTGCTGTAGCGTTTGGTGCAGCCTGGGGCACTTTCTGCAGGAACATCATAACAAGTTTGATAAAAAAACAGAAAAAAAAACTTTTACATGAACTAATGTGATACTACGGAGTTAGGAGATTTAAAGCTGTAATGTATTATTGCTCATAACGTTCCCACAGAATCCCACCTGAAAAACATGTGAACTACCCCCTTTAACACATTACTTATGTGTTTTTTATGTTTGTTTTCATCAGAGCATCTGGCACCGTCTACACTGCCATCGACATAGCGACTGGTCAGGAGGTAAAATCAGATTTTTCCTCAGATTTTAAACACTTTTCATTCTCTATTTTATTAATAATATTCTGCTTTCAACGATCATCTGAGCCACAAACATCTTCTGTTTTCAGGTGGCCATCAAACAGATGAACCTGCAGCAGCAGCCCAAGAAAGAGTTGATCATCAATGAGATCCTGGTGATGAGGGAAAACAAAAACTCCAACATAGTGAACTACCTGGACAGGTTGGGTTCCACATGCACCGTGGTGTTTCCTGCAGAAATATCTCCACACGCTGCAGCTGTATAAACCTTCACATGGTGTCAGTTTTATTTTTAACCATCACATAATGGATTGTTTGGATCAGGTCATTTTAGGAGAGTGTGGGATTATGCTTTTAAAATGCTCATTGTCCCCCGTCGCAGAGCCAAGAGGGGACTTGGAAACACTCCATCCGTCTGCCCAGCTCACGTTGTGAATAACTTGAACAATAAGCAACGTGTCAACGTCCATTTTGGTCCTACCCATTTGAATATCTTTCACCAAAAACATTAAGGTTTACTTGAATTCCTTGTTCAATTCCAGTCCAGAAAAACACTCATCTCAATAAGTACAACTATTCAAATCCCTCTGACGGGGGACATCGGTGTATCTGTGGCGTTCCACTGATGCAAGTTCACTGAATCTCAGGTTGTTCCCAGTCTGTGAACTGGTGAACTGGTGAAAGTGTGAATAAGACTTTGTGTAAAAATGCTTCAGGCAGTCAATAAGAAGAGAAAAACACTCAGTTACCATAAAAAATGAGAAAGACAGAAATCATTTACATGGATTATTTATCTTTTTATTTTTTTTAGAAATGTGTGTTAATTAAATACAGACAAGTTTTTACATAATATACAATTTAATGTTTACTAATAAAAACAGTCGACAGCAGGTGCATGAAAAAGTTAAAATGTTTCTATAAACAAGAAAAAAACATTTTAAGTTCATTTTTCTTCTGTGGTTCTTAAGCAAGTTCACCAAGCAGGATGAATCGTGCAGGTTGTTGACTGTGGGTTTGTTTTAGCTCACTCAGAGAGTTCATGTAATGACTTTGAAGAATCCTCTGAGTCTCCTTTTCACATCCATTTCTGCTGTTGCTGCAGCCCCCCCCCCCCCCCACACACACACACACACTCACTTTTAAAACTCAGATTTAGGAGCAGTGCTGCCCCCTGCTGTTTAAATTTGGAGTTTATCAACATTCCGAACCTCTGATTTTAATGTCTAGTTTCTCTGGTTTCATTATGTTGTCCTTGTTCAAAGTCAGTAACATTTCTGTGCACACATTATCGACTGGAGCTAACTTTACAAACTTTACTTTTGGACTGAAATGTGTAAATGTATTTATTGGACATGCCACAATATAACAATAATTACCTTTTTTAACAGAACACTAGCTGCATCACAATGCTCACTCCAATAATATATAAATGATTAATAAAATCAATAAATACCATTGACAGGTGCTAGCATCGCTCTCCGAGGAGACGTTACATCGTGTAGTTTATCGCAGCTGTGTGCTCAGACGTCACTGTATGACAGGAACCTAACGCGTCGTAGACTTGGGTCCTAAAAGCCGTAATGTTTAAATAATTTGTTACATTTGATAAATGTCCCAGACCTTTTGGATCCACATGTTATATGTGGGAGGGTTTGTATGTTTGAGAGATCAATCTTATATAAATCTGCCACTGTGGGCTCCTGTGGAACGCCCTGTTAAACTGCCTCCTTTTTATTTTCTTTATTTAACCTTTATTTATTTACCAGGCTTGTCGATTGAGAACTCGTTCTTATTTAGGGCTAGTTATTTAACACTAAACACATAAAAACACAAAGATTACACTCATACAAGCTAGATAATTAAAAACAATAAAAGCATCACAGTGTTTCTTGTACATGAAACAAAAGGACTGCCTGGTAAATCAAAAGCAGCTGCACCGATCACAAACTAACGAACGTACAGAAAAACGGAATGGATAATGGAACGAGTGCAGTTTGTCTCTTTTTTGCAGTTCGTTCCAGTTTGGAGCAGCAAATTGAAACAAGAAACCACCAAAAGTAGAATAAAATTGCAACATCCGTGTGTCATAATTTTTTTTTTTTATTATAAAAATATAGAGCCTGCAGTATTTTTACAGTCTCGTTATTTTTTTATAGCTAAATGAATTGTTTTTTTTTAAATAAGGTCTGTTGTTCCAACTAGTCTGAGATCCTTTAAGGGCTTCAGATAGTTCTTTAACTTTGTTTAAATTTGGACAAAATCAAAATGTGTTTTCAAGTTTCAGCAGTGGCACAACAACTCCCCATGTTGGCTACAGTTTATTTTACTCTAAAAAAAAATATAAATAAAAAATCTATTGTCATTTGCATTCAAATTCTATCCATGAATGTTTTATCCTTTTCTTTGCGTTCTCCCGTTCTGTAATCAGTTATTTGGTTGGAGACGAGCTGTGGGTGGTGATGGAGTATCTGGCTGGAGGCTCGTTGACAGATGTGGTGACGGAGACCTGCATGGACGAGGGCCAGATAGCTGCAGTCTGCAGAGAGGTAAGGAGCCAAGTTTAGGAATCAGCAGTGAGTCCCGCTGCAGCTTCAGTTCTGATGAGATGGAGTTCCTCCTCTGTGTGTGAACAGTGTCTTCAAGCCTTGGACTTCCTGCACTCCAACCAGGTCATCCACAGAGATATAAAAAGTGACAACATCCTCCTGGGTATGGATGGATCTGTCAAGCTTAGTAAGTTGTTCAATTTGTGCTCAAATGATAATTAACTGTGAACATGCAGTGTGAATGCTTGTTACTGAATGATTTTAGCTGAAACCAGCTGAGCTGTGAACGAGAGTTGAATGTGAACCGCTGACATTTGCTGAAAGCCGCAAAGTAAAAGCTGAAATGGGCAGAGAGTTGAATAGATAACCAAAAATCTGAAATTAGCAAAAATTAAAAGAAGCTCAAGGATGCTGAAGTTAACACAAAGTTGTTGAAAAAGCGTAAAGAAACTGAATTTAGTCAATAAAAAATATTAAGCTGACAGGAACAAAAAAATTTCTGAAAATAAGCAGAAAGAAGCTGAAATGAGTGGAAGGAAGCTGAATATAACATAAAGTACGGTAGTTAAAAAGTAGTGAGATGTGGAATTTAGACACAGAAAAGCAACAACAACAAAAAAAATTTGTATAAAGAAGCTGAAAGGATTCGAAAAGGCTGAAAAAGTTGAAAGGAGCAAGATTATATTTTTTAAGCTGAAAAAAGTTGACGGAAGTACAAGGATTAGCACAAAGTAACTGAAAGAGCAGAAATAACTGAGTTTAACAAAAAAAATAAGCTGAAATTAGCAGAAAGAAGCTGAAACAAGCTGAAAAAGAACAACAGCTCAAAGGGTTTGAAGGATGTGAAGAGAGCTCCAATCATGCTGAATGAGAAAAACATGGCCGACAAAGCTAAATATTTTAAAAGGTAAAAGTGTCGGGACTGTCCTGAATGAGCTGAACGTTTTGATTCATGACTTGTTGAAACAGAACAAAAACTGAGGAACGAGTTACGAGCTGAAAAACAAACGGAAGTAAAACGAATCTGAACATTGAGGATGATTCAGAAACACTCAGACTATTAGAGATCAAAGGTATCAGGAAACTATAATATAAATAATACAAACTTTGCTTCTGCAGCCGACTTCGGCTTCTGCGCCCAGATCACTCCAGAGCAGAACAAGCGCAGCACCATGGTGGGAACACCCTACTGGATGGCGCCGGAGGTGGTGACTCGGAAGGCTTACGGCCCCAAAGTGGACATCTGGTCTCTGGGAATCATGGCGATCGAGATGGTGGAGGGAGAACCGCCTTATCTTAACGAGAATCCACTCAGGGTAAATGTAGACACCACACAGGATTTAACTTGTAATTTAATATTTTAAACAAGTATAAAGGAAACTCATGTTTAGTACCTTTGTTTTGTAGTGAGCCAGGACTGGGGTATAAAAAGTTCCTTCAGATAGAGAAGGATTGTGGTAATACAAACCTGCAGACACCTTAAGGTTTCAACTGTTTAAAGTGTATATTACTGTGGAAAAGACCAGGTCACGAAAAGTTATTGTACACAAACATTCTTACAAACCTTAAAGAGCCTCATCACTCTGATCTTTACACCTGAGCCACACGGGCAGATGATTTGAACTCAACACCAACCTGCTGCTTCAGATCTAATTGATTTAGATAGCAGCATCAAGAGTTGATCTGTCTGGTTCTGATCACTCTGTGGAACAGTCTGGACCACGGGACAACTACTAGATCATTAGATCTAAGGGACCTGTGGGGCACATCAGGCTGCAGGAGGTCAGACAGGTTTATAGGAGTCTGTCCTTTCAGGGAAAACTGGTGTTCAAACAAAAAGGGCCTCTTTCCCTTCCTCCTGCAGTCAGTGCTCACCATTTATAAAAGCTAGCTTTAGCTGCAGAGTCACAGTCTATTTACAAATGACAATTATTTCAACTACCAAACAAATCAGCAGTGTTGAAGTTAGTTTCACTAAACCACTGCACAGGTGAAGAAATAAGCTAACACTAAACCACTAACCGCTCCTTCCATTTGAAGCTGCGTCGACCAATCACGTCTTGTCATGTGCACACGTAGTAATCCAGCGGCATGCCTAAGTGACTCTTCCACACACGCCCACAACAGACAGGAAAAGGCTTGTGTATTTTGTTAGAGAAATTAAAGTTGGCAGCACCTAATTTAGCGGAAGCTAATTCCGCTAACGGTTCCGAAGTTAGTGAAAATAATATGCTGTTGTTGTTTTTAAGGACGGTTTGCATGCATCCAGTAGGGCAGGTTGAGAGAACGCAGACATAAAAAATAATGCTAAACATTAAACGATAAGATATTAAACAATAAGGAAAAATGTTTTTTTCCAAATCTCGTGACTGACCAGAGACCAGTCTGCAATCTACTAGTCAATCAATTGCGATCAACGTAATGGGCACCCCTGATTTAGTAGCTGTTATCGTGTATTAATCAACAACCACAGACATTTTTATTCCAAAACTGCAGCGTTATCCTCTTTTTCAAATACTTTGCCCATAACCTGAAATGTTTTGGAACATAAATATTCTGAAAAATAAAGTTTGTGCGACACACAGACGTGAAAAGTTTCAGGTTTTTAGAGCTACATTCATGTTTGACTGCATATGTCTTTGCAGGCGCTCTACTTGATAGCAACCAATGGAACTCCGGAGCTGCAGAACCCTGAAAGGCTGTCGTCTGTCTTCAGGGACTTCCTGAACCGCTGTTTGGAGATGGACGTGGACCGCAGAGGCTCGGCTAAGGAGTTGCTCCAGGTACAACTCAGACAAGGAATCATGGTTTTGTCCCTCGTCACAGAGCGAAGAGAGGAATTGGAAATACCCTCCGCCTGTCCGCCTTGTGACGTGAATAACTTGAAAAA